ACAACGCCTTCGGAATCCCGCTGACTTGCAAAGTTTTCCATCGCGGTAATTTTGTTTTATTCGTTGGAAACAGGTGACCCTTCGCTGCCCTCGTCAAACCAGCTACCCGCCATGTGAAACCCTTTCATTTAAAGCGGGTCGTTGTAACTCTCTGATAGCGTCCTCTTCTTGCTGTAAGTTCGTTCTGTCGATCTATTGTCAAATTAAGCCCGCATCGGCACACTTTGTTCGTGCCCTTTGAAGAGCGCCCGTTTCCTTTCTGTCACCTTTCTGTCAGTGATCTGCATAGGGACAAAAGAAGAGAAGCGCCAACTCACTTTTTGTTATCGACCCCACAGGATGGGCGCGACTGGAAAGGAGGACAGAGCACGGCACCTCCGTGACAGCAGGTCAACTAGCGATTTGAAAATCACTCGATGTTCACCCATCTCGCCCCGTGACATAGTTTTTTTTTTCTTTTACACCACAAAATATTACCGTTTTGTGTGTGCCTGCTTCTGCTTTGAGAATATTGAATAACTGTAACTTTTGCCAAGCCCGGTTCCCTTCAGCGCGTTTCTTAATTCTCAAATACGAAGTCTTGTTGAGTATTGAACGCTGTTGAAGTAGCTGTGCTACGTTCAGCACAAATAGATGATTGATTGATTTGCGGGGCTTAACGTCCCAAAACCACCATTTGATTATGAGAGACGCCGTAGTGGAGGGCTCCGGAAATTTTGACCACCTGGGGTTCTTTAACGTGCACCCAAATCTGAGTACACGGGCCTACAACATTTCCGCCTCCATCGGAAATGCAGCCGCCGCAGCCGGGAATCGAACCCGCGACCTGCGGGTCAGCAGCTTCAGTACAAATGTGCAAACGCAGTCGACGAAGAAGAAAAGAAAATGGTGACTTTCACCTTATGCAAATGCCTGAAAGACTGCGTTCATTTTTTTTTTTCGGTACAATTTTTTAAACGTACCCAGTCGTTATCATGTGGCCCATAAAAGGCCGATTGCACACGGCCGGCAGCGTTTTACTCTCCTTCATTTTTCATGCTTCATTGAAACGGCCGCCGAATCGTACGCTCAATAAGTAAGAAGTCGATATGTTCGTGACCATCGCTTGAAATCAACATCCGGGATTAAGTTCCTTGAATCATTAAGATACCGGTTGGTTTCGTAGTTCAGTGGATTCTATAATTTTCTATAGGCCTGCACCATCTACATCCACATGCAAGAGCTCGTGTTCGATTCTTTAAGGAAACCGTACGAAAAAGTCGACTGAATTTTACCTTTAGGTGTCGCCTATGCATATTGCAGTTAGTTCGACAGCTCAGCCCATGGCTGTCGACGACGTTGCTACCGTTTGCTCAGGCCACACTTGCCGGCGGCAAGTTGCGGTTACATTTTCGCCCAGTTTCCTTTATTCACATTTACCTTACAATTACTTGTAATACCATCTACTGTACTTTCTTTGGCATCATTATCTGTTTGTTCCCATCACTGTTCTTACCTGCGGGACATAAGCTACAGGTCGACCTGCGCGCTTACTAGCCATTTCACATGCTACGTTGCTTACCTGCTGAGACGTTGTATTGCTATGCTCGATTTTCGGACAAAATAAAGGAATTACTGTGACGGCTAAAAGCGTACAACCCGAACGTTTAGATTTAAGGGTAAATTCAGCGATCACAGGTGGGGAAATTTATTTTATTCATCTATATCTCGTTACTGCGATATTTATCTTAAAAGTTTGTAGCAGTGAAGAAACATACTGCAATATATACAGGCTTGAATAAAGCAACAAGGTACAGCAGCACAGGACCAACAATTTTATCTACGAAAGTATGAAATCAAACATAATCACAATCAGCGCAGAAATTTCACGTATTACGCTAAGCAATAATTATTGAGCGTTCCAGTTCGACCCGAATACACGTCCGCTATTTTCTTTTTTGGGAATTACAATAATGATGGGGAGTTACCCACTACGACGAGACTTAAAACCATATCGCCTATCTATGGAGGCATGTGAACCTCGGGATTCAACTCCTTGTTCAAACCAAGATCAATTCTTTTCGTGAGGTGAGCGTTTGTGACAATGTAGCCCCATCTTGCGGGAGGCCTCGCAAGTGTACGTTCTTGTTTCCGATTGCATCCGTACGGGCGCTCGTGTCGTCACTCACTCTCGTTTTCTCAAACGGGGTCAGCCCTCCTTAATCGAGTTCCTCGCGGTGTTCTTTTCCTTTTCTTGTTTGGTTTCGAAGTCGCTACCTCTAAGGTGGGGTGACTTCAAAATTTAGTTTCTAAGTTATTTCTTTCTTTTTTTTATTGGTATGATATATACGAGGAGATCTTGGCACACAAATAAGGCACCGGCTACTCCTTAGCAGTTGAATAAATATTGTACATGTATCTTGACGTAAAAAAAAACTGCAGTACATGGAAAATAGAACACATGAGCACACATATGTAAAAATGCACTCACTTGCCCGTATCAAGCAAAACCATCACAACTTATAAGGAAATATTCGAAAGTCAATTAACAATGTATGTGATAGGGCCTCTAGTTACCATGAAATTCAACCAGCACAAAATAGCAGTCAACACGTCTGATCTTTATGGGGATGAATCGGCTAGTGTGTAGATAACAGTCGACACGTCTTGCACTTCAGCACACACATATTATGGTTGTCATAATACTGCGTATAACAAGTAGTGTTATATGAATGAAACTTCCTTTGTTTCTTAGGGATGGCCATCAGTCCCACTGTCTTCTAAAAAAAAAACGTTCCAACACATCTATAGCGTACATCTGCAATGCTCCGGTTGGCCACGGGCCCAGGAGTTTCTTGATACTGAATGGTAAGTGGTCAAATACCAACAGTTCTAATTTCATAACAGCGTTTCGGCGGGTCATATTTGGGCAGTCTATGACAAGGTGACTTACACCTTCATCTACAAATCCACATTCGCATTCGAGAGTTTCAGCTATGGATTCTGTGTAAGAAATGTGTAAGAAATGTAAGATTCTGTGTGTATGCGGTGCCTAGCCTTAATCAGTGAAGAAGTGTTTTCGTACTTCTATCTTATGCTAGCAGAATTTTGAATTCAATGAACGGATCAATATGATATGAACCACAGCTCATTGTACTTTGGTCAAACCAAGTGTTTTTACTTATTCGGAAAGTTGTTGCTTTTATAACACTGCACAATCCATTTTTCGGGATTGGTGAAGAATCAGTGCGCCATCGTTACGACGCGCTTGTCATGCAGATTCATGGGTAGTTGTGTTACCAGGAATGTTACCATCTCCAGGTATCCACTGGAATGTAATCTTATGTTGTGCCTGGCTTGCTCTTGTGAGCTCTTTGAGTGATTCGTAAGTTATACTATCGTTGATTACTGTCGTGGTTCTGCTGGAGATTGATGTTTATGCGGCCTGTGAATAGCTGAAAAGCACCCATTTTCCCGCATCTGTTGCCGATTTTGTAAACTTTATAGCATACAGAGTAGCGAATAGCTCAGCTGTGGTAGATGACATCGTTCGAGATTATTTAAATGATTCCTTAACGTTGAACTGTGGTATAATAAATCCTGATCTTGAAGAAGTTAGAATATTTCAGTCATCTCTGTATTTGTGTATGTATCTACTGCTTCTCGCCTCTTGGCTACGATCATCTGCAGTTTCAAAGTATCGCTGTACAGCAGTAGTAACTAGGCTTATGGCTATACGTATTACCAGGTATATAAATGCACATGCAGGTTACAGTCGAACTCAAGATTAGTTTCAAATTGCTTCTATTGTTTATTTGTTTTTGCTATTTTTAGTTTTTTGTCACATATACTTTTTTTTTGTAAGATCTGCTATTTGCAGACCATAGTAGTGAAGGTAGCGACGAAGGTTTCGCAGACGTGGAACTAGATATATGAGCGCAAAATAAAAACTAGATTTTTTGTGTGTTTTTTACCGTTTGTTATGTATGAATGTTGACTCTTATGAATGCCCTATTTTTATACCAACAAGTATAAATGCATCTGTGCTGTTGATTTGAGATCCAGTTGTGTAAATATCGCTGATTGACACATTGAAGGATTTTGGTCTAGGTAGGCCTGATATTTCCCAGGAAAAAAAAGTGCGCCAACTCCAAAACAGTTGCTTTTAGCAAGCGAAGAAGTTACGGGTCGGTACACGCCCACTTCCTGTCAACGTGCCAAAGAAAGAGCAACAAAAATGATTTTTTTCAAACACGAGTGTCCAAGCGTGATTCATTTAGAAAATGCTCTGAAATGGAGCTCTTCCAGCTTTTTCGTTTTGACTGTGCTGCGCGTTCCGTGCAGGCCTGGCGCTTTTGGGTGGGCGTTTCTTTTCTATGTGATGTCACTATTGGGAAGGAACAACGACGATATCATTAGTTACACACTGCGTTAGTTTTTCCGATTTGATATCATGAATATGAGACACAAGGATCCTAATTAACTTCAAAGTGTGACAAAAAAAAGCTTAGCTGTAAATTCCCTTCTATGGAATTTTCAACACGTTTAATTTAACTCGCGGTCTTGTCGAAGCCGGATCATACACGCCTGCGTTCAACTCCCGCTTCACGTATGCTGACTACGTATGTCCAAATAGATGCTTTCGAAACCTCTCACGTCATGGACACCTCGACAAATCTCCTCCCTAAGGGAGAGTATGATTTCGTTTATTAGTGCCCAAGGCCTATTGTCTGGTGCATTCCTTGTTTCTGTGTAAGGAACAGAACATATTCACATGTCGTTGGAAGTGAACATCCTTAGGCGAAATCCTGATGTAACGCGCTTGGTAGGTTAATGTAAGCTTGTTTCTTCGAATCATAGATATCCCGCTGTGTTTGGCGTGTGTGCGTATTGTGCGCACGCACTGCAGCCGTCTCATTTAGAAAAGAAATGCTGATTTACGTTTTAAGTTATGTAAGAGATTCGGCAAGGCTTATCAGGATCACATCTATGTTCTATTACAAGAAAACATGCACACCGCATTTGTACATGCGACCGTTTTATTTTTCTGTACACTTTGGTTCTGGGTGCCCTCGACCTGGTCCCACTCAGTCCACAAAAGCCACACTGTCGATGACAAGTCCTTTGATGACGTCACATTCAAACCGCACTGCGCACCACCGTTCCAGCAGCTCACTTCTTCTTGCGAAGGTAGTCGTAACCGCCGTAGCCGTAGCCGTAGCCTCCGAGGCTGTAGCCTGGTGTCAGTCCACCTCCGTACCCTGCGTATCCGAGGCCGTAGCTTAGGCCGCTTCCGTAGCCGACTCCGACGAGCCCTCCTGCGTAGCCAAGACCTCCGTAACCATATCCCAGTCCGTAGCCAAGTCCGGCGCCATAGCCCAGTCCAGCACCGTATCCCAGTCCGCCGCCGTATCCGACGACACCGACGGCAGCTGGAGCAGCAGCGACGGCCACAGGGGTGACGGCGACCGCCGGCCGGGCGACTGCTACTGGTTGTGCGACTGCTACTGGTTGAGCGACTGCTACTGGTTGAGCGACAGCTACTTGTTGAGCGACGGCGACGGGACGAGCGACTGCAACTGCTACGGGACGTTGAACAGCGACTACGGCTGGCTGAGCCACGACCTTCTGGACGACAGGTTGAGAAACGGCCACAGTCCTCTGATACGCAACCGGCCGAACAACGGCCACTGGCCTCTGCACGACGAATTGTTGAGCGACCGCTACGGGTCTCGCGACGGCCACTGGGCGCGCCACAGCGACCGCGACTGGAGCAGCGGCCACAACGCCACCGCCGTATCCCAGTCCTCCAAGGCCATAGCCGAGTCCGCCGCCCAGTCCTCCTAGGCCGTAAGTGAGACCACCGTAGCCAAGTCCTCCGCCGTAGTCGAGTCCTCCACCGTAGCCTAGTCCACCGTAACCGAGACCACCGTATCCCGCACCACCGTAGCCCAGGGCGAGACCGCCGTAGCCGAGGCCTCCGTAGCCAAGGCCACCGCCAGAATAGGTGACGCCGAGCCCGCCGCCGTTCAGGTACCCGGCCATGGATGTGGCCGCGAGGGCAAGGAGGATGGTCAGCTTCTGTTGTAAATCAGAATCGTGAAATGCATCAATAAACTACGTGGCATGTGCTCCTGTTGTTTATTTCAATCACTGTAACCATTCTCCACTTGTGATCATCTTGAATTCAGCGTTCATTTCTCTATATGTTCTTATGCCGGTTTATTACAAACCACTGTTCTTTTTTTTTCGTTATGAAAGTGTGTAAATGCCTTACCTGTTTTATATTTATTTGTTTGCCGATTTGTAAACTTATCAAATGTATATCCACCCTGCCAAAACCCTATGTTAGGGTTGCAGTATTCATAAATAAATAAATAAAATAAAACTCGGGTTTTGACATTTTCGTTGAGTTCTTGCAAACGTCAGAGGGGCGCTTGTAATACATTGTCTGATGATAAGGCCTGCCGTATTTCCGAACTCCTTCCTCACCACTTTATGGTGTGGTTAGGCATGCGCTGGTAGATACTGACGAAATTTAACCACGGATGCGTAAGCAGTGTTGGGATGGACGCTACTTACAGGCCTGGGCTGAAATGCACTGGCTTTTGTCAGCTTAACCAAAAGGGAACACTAACGGCTTCCTTCTCCTTCGCAGCACGTTAAAGAACCCCAGGTGGTCGAAATTTCCGGAGCCCTCCACTACGGCGTCTCTCATAATCATATGGTGGTTTTGGGACGTTAAACCACACATAAATGACATCACTGATAACATAGACTGCAAAATTAAACTTTTCGCAGACGACGGCATTATTTTTAGAGCAATTAACAGTTCGGATGACCATTTATCTTTAAATAATTCATTGAGTAAGATTGCTCACTGGTGTGAGCAGTGGTAAATGTTAATTAACCTAACAAAAACAGTTTGCATGACGGTAACCAGGAAAAAAGAACCCTCCGACTTTACCTATACAACTAACGGCGTACCTTTACAAAGAGTTACGCAGCAGAAGTATCTTGGTGTCACCTTGACTTCCGAATTAAGATGGGATGCGCACATTAACAATGTTACAGCATCGGCTTTGCGTAAACTGTTTTTCCTACGAAGGCGTTTACCCTTCGCACCGAACTATAATAGGCTCCTAACTTCCACCACATTCGTGCGACCAATCTTCGTGTACGCTAACACTGTGTGGTTCCCGCAAGGTGTTACTAATATAGCAAAAGTTGAACGGGTTCAAAGGAAGGCCATTAGGTTTATACATAATAAGTACAAACGCACCGACTCGCCCACAAACCTTTTAGAAACCTCCGGTCTACCCACGCTTGCAACAAGAGCAAAAATCGCACGTCTCAAATTTCTACACCACATTCTGCATAACCACAGCCGAATCGATGAATCCAGGTACATATCTTTGGCAGAATCACGAACACTACGACATAAACATGCATACACTATCAAAGAATACGCTTCCAACAACGACTGTTTCAAGCAATCCTTTTTCCCCCTGTCAATCAGCGAATGGAACAGGTTAGATCCCTCCATTACTAACGCACCATCACTGGCAGAATTCACTTCAAAAATTGAGACTATACTTTGTGACAAAGCCTTTCTTCAACCATGACCTCCATTACTGTTTTCCAGTAGTATTTATTTGGATGTATAAGTGTACACAATGCCTTCTCTGTATAAAACTGTATTGATTCTTTTATGCAGCGAAAATTCAGTTCCCTGCTTCCGAAGTGTGGCAGAATTCACTTCAAAAATTGAGAGTATACTTTGTGACAAAGCCTTTCTTCAACCATGACCTCCATTACTGTTTTCCAGTAGTATTTATTTGGATGTATAAGTGTACACAATGCCTTCTCTGTATAAAACTGTATTGATTCTTTTATGCAGCAAAGATTCAGTTCCCTGCTTCCGAAGTGTGAATATTTGGAGTGCATAAATACCTATGTCTAATGTTTCTATGTAACTAGGATTATTATTACCAATTTTAAAATAATTACAGTTCTGTATGCCGCCTGTAAGAAAGTACTTAGCATTCATTGTATTCTGTAACTCATGCCCTCCTGCTTTGGTCTCGTAAGAGACTGGCAGTATTGTAAATAAAATAAATAAATAAATAAATAAATAAATAAATAAATAAATAAATAAATAAATAAATAAATAAGTAAATAAATAAATAAATAAATATCAATCAATTAATCCTTCTACTTCGCATGGCCAATGGTGTCTTGCGCACTGCACGAGCAAATGCGTCAAGAAGAGCACCTTCCGTGGCTAATTTGATGCCCTTGAAGTCCGGATGACTATATTAACCTATATTAGCTTAACTACAAGATTACTATATAATACATATAACCTATATATATAGCCTTTATAAACTACTGTACTAGCCTATACAAAATAACGGTTTTCCTTTTAAAAACTTTGGCTTTTCCAAATACGAGACAACTGATTAGAGCCTTCATTGACGATTGTCTACACTCTTCGCAATATACTCAAACCCTCAATAGAATTTTTGCTTTCACAGTCATGGTCCAAGGTCCTATTCATCACTATACCTTCTGTACCGACCGCTCCATACGGTTTTTTTTTTCGTAACATTTCTACGGGTGCGTAGCAAAACGTTAACAACTTACCAAGTTCTGCATGGTTAGTTGTGTTTCAACGGTCCCTCTTTGTTCTTCGTGGCTTGTTGTACTTGACGAAGCCGCACTGTCCGTGCTCTGCAAAACTTGCCGGGCCCCTTTTATATGGAGGACGAAATAAACGCTGGTCTCCTCCTACAAGCCCCCCCCCCCCTCCCGTCTTGTTTCACGCTACGCCCAACGTCCCCCCTCTTTCTTCCGCTTCCTTTCCGCATCCTTTCTCTACCACCTGCTGCAAAAAGAAAAAGAAAAAGCGGCAGGAGCACAAAAACTCCACGTACAGATCAAACGTGTCTCGTGCACCGTTGACTGAAACCAAACGAAAGAGGATCGCCCAAGAGATCGACGCAGCCCGTAACCAATACGAAACAAAACCAGATGCCGTGAAACACACAAAAAAAATATAAAGGAGATTCAGTATGGCCCGTGCACGGGCACTTCCAAAACGACCACACCACTGACAGACTCTCCTCGTTGGCCCGGCGGCGTTAGGCGAGGTTTCAGGTCAGTATACATTCAATACAAAGTGTCTGTATCGCTAAAGAGGATCGTCCTCGCGTTGTCCCGGGTCCTCCGACGAAACGATAGCCGCCGGACACACCCAGAATCTGTAAACTTCCTCACTTCTTCCGGTAGCCGAGGGCTGGTGTGCCCTCTTCGTGGAACTTCCAATAGAAACATCGACGCGCTGAGAGCATATCATCGTCCCCCCCTCTCTCTCTGTCTCTCTCTCTCTCTCTGTCTTCTGACATGCCCATCTTCGATTGCTTACCCTTATACACGAGAGTTCCACTGTACGCCCCCCTTTTCGACTTCTTTTCTGGCTGGGAACGCAGATTATCTTTTTTTCTTCTTTTTATTCAGGTGCGCTTGAGAAGAAGCAGAAGCGAGTCGCGCTTCTTATCTCAAGTTCCTTCTGGGCTTGTTTTCCTCCAGCTGGTGGCTAGCCCAGACTACACCATGCGCCTCCTTGGATGAGAGACTACGAAAAAAAAAGCGATTGATCCTGGTCGCGATATATCACTGTCGCCTCTTCCCCAGCCGCACGTGCATGCCAGGGGCCGCGTTTTTCTGTAGTCTGATCGAGCAGAGAACGTGTCGAGACGCACACCAGAGGCGCTTGGTGTGCCATTGCATGCGGTTTATCCCTGCTGTCAACTCTGGAAAGCGCATGTCGACTGGCAGTTGGAACGCGTTGCGGAACGTTTATCTTGGCTTGCATGGTTGCGAAATTTTGTTTTCGCAATGTTTATATGGCACTTAGGTGATATACGGGTGGGAACTTAGAATTAATGAGCTATTCTCGACATATTCGTAAGGCTTTTCTTGACATGTAATGATGGTCTTCGGGACAGAATAATAAGGCCTTCTGGTTACCTAAATGATCATCCGGTCATAATATGAACCTATTCTACTTACGCAAAGAAATCCTCTGGCCATGTTTTCAATAGTTATAGCCAAAACATCAGGATCGTATGGTTACGTAGTTAGATCTTCTCGGCGCAGTGTAATCTTTGTGGTATGTGTTAAGATCATTCGGGAAAGACAATACCTCCCGAGTAGGCTGGGGCACCATCACCTATCTACCCACCTATCAGCGTTACTGTAAGTCACAATAGTTATAGCGCGAAAACAGAACGACGACGAAGAGACGAGAAGAAGTTAGCGCTCATGTCCTTCTTGTTTCTTTGTCGTCGTTCTGTTGTGGCGCTATAACTATCGGGATGTCATACCAACTAGCCCAAACTGCCACACTTCTGAGTCACTGCAAGCCTTTTATAGGTTTACGTTTTTGCTCAAATCTATTCAAACATGTCTAAACGCACTAGGGTTCACGTGGCACCTTGATGTTTATGATGAGAGGTGCGAGTAAGAGAAAAGGGGGGGGGGGAGTTCAATTTCTTCTCCTGCAAATACTTTCACGGGACGTTCTTGATTGCGATATCTCATGTGACTTAGATGTTTTATAGAAGCGTCCTCACCAAATAGAAATCATGGATAACCCGTACTTGAAGGCACAAGATCAAACTTATTATCGTAGTGCACCAATTATATGAAATATTAGCGTTCAAGAGCTTATTAAACCATTAACTTAAAGCTAATTTTACGCCAGCAGACTCATAAATCCACCCACTTATGCTCACTGAGTCTCAGGTCAAGCCTTGGATCTGATTGAGGGAGTTAGGCACAGCAATATGTTGCCGTAGTTGAATCCAAGTGAATCTACTTGAAAAAAAAAAGTCACGGCTTTGCTACAAGGGGAAAGCAATGAATGCGATAGCAACAAATTGGAATGTCACGTGCAGAATGGCAAGCAGATCGAAACGTGCCCCGCGTTCCTCACGCACAAATGGCGCATGCAGCATACTCACAGGCACAGATGAACGCGAATAAGCGTATCAGTTGTTACTTCGCTGTGTTAGAAGAGCGCACCCTTTTCGTAAATGGAGGCTGCAGCGAATGCAGTGACCTTTGTCTGTCCTATAACTACAACAGAATCGTTCAAGTGCAAGCCCAACGCCAGCCAAGACGTATGGGCCCTCCCCATCGGGAGATAAGAGCGCGCGAAAGAGATTGTCAACTCTCTTCTTCTCCGCGAGCCAAAGTACGCGTGAGAGATGAGAGCCGGCGCGCGCTCATTGCGCCATCTTGCTCATAATGCTGAAGACTTAGTTCTCCCCGAGATTCCCGCCAACAGCGGCAAGTGGTAGATATAAATAGCTTGCCGTTTGGAACGTTGAAGGAGGTACCTCTTGCTGGCTTATAGTGGATAAAGTCTCGCATTTATGACGCGGAGGTCCCACGTTCGATTCCGTGCGCTGAAGTCTCTCTCGATTTTTTTTTCGTTTCTTGCGTTTTCATACATGTAGATACGTATACATATACGGTGGACGACATCGACGCCCACGTCGACGCCGATGCCGACGCCGGTGGCGAAATCCAGCCGAGAGTGTACATGTAATTGCTATCGCAATAAAAAAAGTTTGCCGAGTCTGAGTCCAAGTTAGTCCAGTTGAAAAAAATTTCGGTGAGTCTTAGTCTGCGTGATGTCCCTGAGCCTGAATGTAAGGATAGCGCATTAGAATGTGGTAGTATAGTATATTTTATTTTATAACAACATTTTCAATAATCAAAACAAACATTAAAATATGCTGTAAGCTCGACAATCGTTAAAATTGGTCTCAGGCTGTCTACTTCACTGCAGATATCGTTGAAAAACGATGGTCTTCTGCCGGCCGTACTACGTGAGTCCTGGTCTTATCCGCGGCCACCTGGGATGCTGTTCTCGTAGCATTTTCGTCCTGGCATGGTTAATGCATTGGTGGTTTGTTTGAACAGATTTAATTTTACTGCATTACCACTGTTGGCATTTTATGTGTAAATGTCAGTAAAGGTCTGACCACGTGGGTTACGGTGTAGCACAATAGCTTCCAGCCATTTCTAAGAGACCCGCCGCGGTGATCTAATGGCTAAGGTACTCGCCTGCTGACCCGCAGGTCGCGGGGTCGAATCCCGGCTGTGGCGGCTGCGTTTCCGATGGAGGCGGAAATGCTGTAGGCCTGTGTGCTCAGATTTGGGTGTACGTTAGAGAACCCGAGGTGGTCAAAATTTCCGGAGCCCTCCACTGCGGCGTATGTCATAATAATAGGGTGGTTTTGGAACGTTGAACCCCACCTATCAATCAACCATTTCTAAGATACGTATGTACTTTATTGCATGAAAAAATCAATGGCTGTGCGCATATAATATTGGTACTCCAAAGTAGATGCCTGTCGAAGTAGGCAGCATCATATCGTCGGCAGAGGGCTTTTTTATGTATGGCGTCACATTTTCAGCGCAGCGCAAAAAACACTAGATCTTTTAGATTCGCGTCTGTATTTTCTGGTAAACAAACACACCACCTGGTAGTTACATATAATGTTGCCACTTAGGTATGTGAAATATTTGCTTTTTGATCTACAATGTTCACAAGTATGAACGCAGCCCTCAGTTCAAGTGGCTGGACGTTCAGCAAATGTTTAAACATTGGCCGGATGGCTCAGTCATGTGGCAGACAGACAAACAAACAAGCAAACAAACAGACAGACAGACAGACAGACAGACAGACAGACAGACAGACAGACAGACAGACAGACAGACAGGCAGACAGACAGACAGACAGACAGTTCAAGACTTCTCGATTAAAGTATCCTAACAAAGACTATCGTCTTTAAGGCCCGTCTTCACAGACAGACATAAATTACGGCGTTCAAGTATCCCAAGAAAGACCAACTTACTTATTCTCGCGTCTCTGCTACCCATGCTAGACACTCCTCCACGGTGAACGCACACACCAGTGAGTGCACTTTGCAGTGAGCGTCCCTGAGCGTTCCCGTGTGAATGACCCTAGAGACGAAGTGCCCTCCCTCAAAGTGCTAGTAAGTTGGCCAGTAAGTTGACCCTAGTAAGTGCTAGTAAGGGGTATAAGAAGGCATTTCTCTACCCCCGTACTTAGTTTGACCATTGTGTTTCCGCGTCAATACAAGCTTCTTATTTAAATCACATCTGCAGTTCTACCGACAGTAGTGACGTGAACGGCCACATTTAATGCACTTAATGCAAGGAAACTTCCAATTTATCGCAAGTTGCGGCTACGGTGACTCTCGGTGGATCTGAACTTTTACTATTTCTCTTCTTCAAGGTAAAAGAACCACGATAGCGCAGACCGCCTTGGACAAGCGTCTGAGGTGTGAAACAAAGCGGGCTATCTTGCCTTACCACTTGGGGTATATGGGTGAAAATATGCGGGAAACATTCTTCCACGTCTCAAAATAATTGTGCTATTGTGTCACCCATATGCCAAGGTGAAGCAAAGAAAAAAATAAGCGCCCGAGATAGGGGTGGCAGCAACATGCTCTCTCCGTATGTTTTCGTAGGCAAGAAGCGTGCGCACGCTGATTATGCAGTCTGACTCGAGCTACAGAGCGAATCACAACGCACATCACGTGCGAAAGCGGCGTAGCATAGCCGAGCGTTGTGAATATGAGGACTACGAGGCGTCCTGGACCTCGTTGCCGGACTTGTATGGC